GACACTTTATAAGGGGGGCGATGACGGAGCGAGGGTTACATATGTCTGCAGACGGAATTCGGGAGACTCGCAGGAAACTGGCTTCAGGACAAGGACTAGATAAAGCTGATTAGTTGCAATCCCTGAGCAACCCTAGCCACTTCGAAAGCGGGGATCTCAGATCACAGCCCCCCAGGGATGGCGAGGTCTAATTTGGGTCCGCGCGTGGCGTCACTGTGCTGGGCCCCCCAGCAGGCCTCGAAAGTGGCGACAGTTTCACAGATCGCAGCCCCCCAGGGATGGCGAGGTCTAATTTGGGTCCGCCCGTGGCGTCACTGTGCTGGGCCCCCCAGCAGGCCTCGAAAGTGGCGACAGTTTCACAGATCGCAGCCCCCCAGGGATGGCGAGGTCTAATTTGGGTCCGCCCGTGGCGTCACTGTGCTGGGCCCCCCAGCAGGCCTCGAAAGTGGCGACAGTTTCACAGATCGCAGCCCCCCGCAAGCAAGACAGGAGGAGGCAAGAGGGAGACGGGACGGGAAGGAGGAAGTGGAGACCACACTGCTCTATTCAAAACGAATACCCAACCAAGGAGGGTTGGGAAAAATACTATCCCCCCCCCCCGAAAGTTGCACGAAGTGTAATTCGGAAAACGCCAGCCCGTCGGGTTTGGCAGTGTTCGTGTAAGACGGCGGCCAGCTTGGGGAGGAGGAGGCGGAGGATGGGGGAGGCCGAGGGGGAGGAGGAGGAGGATGAGGAGGAGGAGGAGGAGGAGGAGGAGGCGGAGGAGAGGAGGAGGAGGAGGAGGAGGAGAGGAGGAGAGAGGAGGAGGAGGAGGAGTGAGGGGGAGGGGTAGCGAGGAGAGGTGAAGGAGAGGGATGGAGGAGGAGGATGGGGAAACGGAGGAGGAGGATCACGAGGCGGAGGAGGAGGAAGAGGATGAGGAGGATGATGATGATGATGATGATGATGATGATGATGATGATGATGATGATGATGATGATGATGATAATGATGATGATGATGATGAGGAGGAGGAGGAGGGAAACATGGAGGAGGAGGAGAAAACCGAGGAGGAGGGGCAGCTCGAACAAAAAGGACCTGCGGGCCTGTTAAGAATTGATGGCGTCCGTGATGATGATGATGATGATGATTGATGGTGAGATGAGATGCTGATGATGATGATGATGATGATGATTCATGATGATGATGATTGATGATGATGATGATGATGATGATGACGATGATGACTATGAGGAGGATGAGGAGGACGAGGAAGAGGAGGAGGCAAAAGGAAGAAGAGGAGGAGGGAGAGGCGCGGAATAAATGGAGGCGAAAGGGAGGGCGATGGCTCCGGGAGCTGGGCGGCCAAAGGGGGGAAGGGAGGGGGGGGCTTCAAGCCCCCCCTTTTGCACCAAGGGAGGGAGGGGGGGGGGCTTCCAAAGCCCCCCCCTTTCAAAGCGGGGGTGTGGCTCACCCCAGCTCCATTAAAAGGAGGGAGGGGGGGGGGTAGCTTGGAAGCCCCCTCCCCCCTTTCCGGCCAGGAAAAGGGAGGGGGGGGGGGTAGCTTCCGAAGCCCCCGCCCTTTCAAAGGGGGGGGGGTGGCTCACCCCGGCTCAACTAGAGGGAGGGAGGGGGGGGTAGCTTGGAAGCCCCCCCCCCCTTTCCGAACCACGAAAAGGGGGGGAGGGGGGGGGGCTTCCGAAGCCCCCCCCCCTTTAGCAAGGAAGGGGGGAGGGGGGTAGCTTCAAGCTGGGGCCCCCCTTTTAGTCTATCGGGCCCCACGCGCGCGCTCTATCCTACATTTTGTGGTGGGCGGGTTTTCCCCCACCACCACCATAAGTAGAAGGGGGAGGGGGTCCTCCTCCTCCTCTTCTTCCTCCTCCTCCTCCACCTCCTTCCTTCCCCCTCCAACTTATGGTGGTGGTGGTGGTGGACAACAGGCCCATCATTTTGCCCGCAGGCGGGCGACGCCGTCGTCGAAGAATTGGCGAGTGAAACCTGCGCGCCGCAGGAGCGGCGCAAGTGTCATGATAAGCGAGCGCGGCGCCGAGGCGAGAGCGGCACTGCAACCCTGCGCCAACGATGTGCACCCCGTCTCACTCCTGTCACGCATTCTGCAACGTCGAGGACAACATGTCCATACTGAGAGGGGAAACGTGTTTCTGTCTTTCCAGATCGCGCAAGGCGTTCACACCTACACGTCTCACAACCTCGCACTGCCGTAAAGATAAACACGGAACCGTTGCAAACCCATTCTAAAGCCAACGCTTCGGCCACAAATGCCGACTGCACTACTCCAATCGCCGGTCCTGATCTGTACACGATACGATGGGAGCCTTCGGGAAACTAAATCACGATAGCTATACCGGCGCCTGGCTACGTCCACGCGCAGGCTGATGTTGGCATTCTCGGCCACCGCCCGTGCCAAATACTCACTGTGCGCATCCTCCAGCGGGCAGCCCGTCTGGGGCGAGGTTCGCCGCGGGATCAGTGAGTCTATCAAGACGGCGCGGGTCCCCAAAATCTACTCGGAGATGCGAGTGAGCGGCGTCACGCCTCTGCAGTACGGGCCCTCCCAAAAAAAAACAATGCGAATGCAAACTGAACGCATGAGCTACCCTTTCAGGGCAGCCCTGCCGGCAAACAGCTCGGCGACCTGCTTACTAGCAATTTGCACCCACAGGGAAGAATGGCAAACTCCCATTGAGTCTCGCGGGGGTTGGCTGGAAAATCAGGGGCGTCACACAGAGCAGCGCTAAGCTTTACAACGCACGGCCCGCGGGCAACCTCATCACTCGGGATTTCCAGGTCACCAACAGTCATGAAGGGGGGGAGGGGGGGGGGCTTCCGAAGCCCCCCCCCTTTAGCAAGGAAGGGGGGAGGGGGGTAGCTTCAAGCTGGGGCCCCCCTTTTAGTCTATCGGGCCCCACGCGCGCGCTCTATCCTACATTTTGTGGTGGGCGGGTTTTCCCCCACCACCACCATAAGTAGAAGGGGGAGGGGGTCCTCCTCCTCCTCTTCTTCCTCCTCCTCCTCCTCCTCCACCTCCTTCCTTCCCCCTCCAACTTATGGTGGTGGTGGTGGACAACAGGCCCATCATTTTGCCCGCAGGCGGGCGACGCCGTCGTCGAAGAATTGGCGAGTGAAACCTGCGCGTCGCAGGAGCGGCGCAAGTGTCATGATAAGCGAGCGCGGCGCCGAGGCGAGAGCGGCACTGCAACCCTGCGCCAACGATGTGCACCCCGTCTCACTCCTGTCACGCATTCTGCAACGTCGAGGACAACATGTCCATACTGAGAGGGGAAACGTGTTTCTGTCTTTCCAGATCGCGCAAGGCGTTCACACCTACACGTCTCACAACCTCGCACTGCCGTAAAGATAAACACGGAACCGTTGCAAACCCATTCTAAAGCCAACGCTTCGGCCACAAATGCCGACTGCACTACTCCAATCGCCGGTCCTGATCTGTACACGATACGATGGGAGCCTTCGGGAAACTAAATCACGATAGCTATACCGGCGCCTGGCTACGTCCACGCGCAGGCTGATGTTGGCATTCTCGGCCACCGCCCGTGCCAAATACTCACTGTGCGCATCCTCCAGCGGGCAGCCCCTGTCTGGGGCGAGGTTCGCCGCGGGATCAGCGAGTCTATCAAGACGGCGCGGGTCCCCAAAATCTACTCGGAGATGCGAGTGAGCGGCGTCACGCCTCTGCAGTACGGGCCCTCCCAAAAAAAAAACAATGCGAATGCAAACTGAACGCATGAGCTACCCTTTCAGGGCAGCCCTGCCGGCAAACAGCTCGGCGACCTGCTTACTAGCAATTTGCACCCACAGGGAAGAATGGCAAACTCCCATTGAGTCTCGCGGGGGTTGGCTGGAAAATCAGGGGCGTCACACAGAGAAGCGCTAAGCTTTACAACGCACGGCCCGCGGGCAACCTCATCACTCGGGATTTCCAGGTCACCAACAGTCATGAACCATAATCGGCTGGGCTCGGAACAGAAATCGGCAATCAGTCCATCCATCGTATTGACTGAAGGCAGCAGATCGGGCGGCTATGGGCAGGCAGGCAAGGTTGCAGAGAGGGGGTATGTCTGGGTGAGTGCGATGGTTGTATAGGGCTCAGGTTGTTGGTCTGGGGTCATGGGGATCGGTTAGTCGGTTGGTTAATGTTCCTTTGTGTAAGGTGTTAGGTTTGGGCCGGGGGCGTCAAGGTTTAGGGTTAGTGCTTAGGGTTAGGGTTTAGGGGGGTCTGCGTTAGGTTTTGTGCATCAGGTGCTGGGAACGAGGCATCAACTTGCCGGGTGTCGGGGTTGAGGTGCAGGGTGGGGAACAGTGCTAATGGTCAGGGTTTGGGTGTTCGGTTTTAGGGTCCTAAGGTTCAGAGCTAGTGCTTAGTGTCAGGGGTTAGAGTGTTTGGGATTACGGTTACGGCGTATTCTGGTTAACCACGGCTCAGGGCTTTGGGGTAAAATCATGGTGCCAGGGCTATGTTTAGTGATTTAGGGTGTTAGGCTGTCACGGTTGAGCGTTAGTGCTTAGGGTTTTGGGTCAGGGTCTGATTAGAAGAGTCAGGGTGTTTGGGTTTGGGTGTGGGCCAGGGTTCAGGAGTTGGGGAGAGAGGGAAGAGGGAGGCTCAACTCCCAGCCAGAAGGGCAGGGAGGGAGAGAGTGAGGTCTAACCTCTGGCCCCCGCAGGGGGAGGGGGGCGCACGACGGATCGGAAACGGAGGCGGGATCCTGGACGGCCAACGAACACCAAAACCAGAGCTCTGAACCCCATGCTTCTGCCGGATACCTCTGCCAGATCGATCCGTCAAGGCCCCGCCGCGGGCTTCCACGACGCATGGACGTCCCCGGACCCCCCAAGCCCAAAAGTCTCCATCCCTTCCCTCGGACCCGCTTCTCATGCCGAGCTGCGTTTGGGCGGCCCCGGGGGCGGGCTCATGGGATTCCGGGCAGACGACATCGGCAGCCAGACGGACAGCAGCCGCCCGCGCCCCCCCCCCCCGTGGGAGCCCTCTCCAACTGCGGCGGCTTCCGCGACGGCGCTGCCGCCTCTGGCTGCCTCGGCGCGCCGGGGGGCCCCCGTCGCGAGCGTCGACGGGGATCGACGAGGACGACGGGGAAGGCTCTTCCTGGTCCTCGTCGCGAGAGGGGGAGGATCGACGAGGGCCTCGTCCTCGCCGCGCCGATCTCAATGCCCATTTCCAGACAGCGCGATCATTCTTCCCTGCGTGGACCCCAAGGGGTCCAGACCCTTCCCCCAAACTGGCCGCAACGCCGAACCCCAAGATGGAGCCAGACGGGTTCGCGTTCACCGCCGTGTCGAGTAGCCCGTCGCCTCCTCCTGCACTTCCAATTCCCCGCCATCCTGCTCCTCTTGCTCCTCTGGCTCCTCTGGCTCCTCCCCCCCCCCTCGCTTCGCCTCCTTCCTGCCCCTCTCCCCCTCGTCCTCGTCCTCGTCCTCGTCGTCGTTGCCCCCCTTCCCCCAGCGGCTCCGGGCCCTCCCCGGAAGCCTGCCGGTCCCCACCGACGCCCGGCAGGGCCTCGCAGGCTCTCGCAGGCGGCCCGCGAAGGCCCCTTGCAGAGCTTCCTATGGGATCCTCGCAGGCGCCCCCCCCCCTTCATGCACGCCGTCATTCATCCTCCTCGTGCTCTCGTCCTCTTCCTCCTCGTCCGCCTCGTCCTGCCCTTCGTCATCCCTCCTCCCCCTCGTCTTAATGACCTCCCCTCCTCACCATCATCACCCTCCTGGTCATCATCATCCCTCGCCTCCCCCTCATTGTATTCCTCCTCCCTTCTCATCCATCCTCATCTCTCCTCCTGCCCATCCCGAATCGTCCATGGGCAACGGCCTCGGCTGTGATCGAGAAGGGACCGACCGTCCCAACATTCCTATGCGCGGGTAGACGTCAGACTCGGGTACGGGGGACTCGGGTTGGCCTGACGGGGGCCATCTCAAAAATGACGAGACCCAATCTGAAACTCGGCGCGAGCTCCCGCTGCAGACATCCCACGAAAACTGGACCGTCAAAATTCAAGACGCGCTCGTCAAACAAATGTCGGCAAACCCAAGTTCCGGCTTACTCGAGTCTTACGTTTCCCCGATATCGGCCTACCACGAACCACGACATGCTCTAAGAACCCCCCAAAAATCTTTCTATCAAAAACAAGCATGTTCTTAGAACAAAATTCGGATGTGTCAAAACGAGACTGTCTCAGCCAGAACTGTTCTGAGGAAGATTCTCTGGCGGGCCCGTAGGCCAATCATGACGCTTGGCCACTGCTTGACGTGTGCATGCGCCCCCCCTCCCCGAGCAGGCGGAGGTGGCGCGCTGAGCCGGCCACGCCCCGCTGGCGGGCGGTGTCAGCAGGTGGACCTGCGGGGGCGTGCGCTGCGACTCCAGAAGCGAGGTGGCCTGCAGCGGGCCGCCGGCCGCCCAGCGCGAAGGCAGCCGGCAGACGCAGGAGCGGCAATCATCACCACGGTCGCTGAAACGAACCCCAACGGGCGGGAAGGGCGGGGCGGGACTGCGGAAGACCCAGGCGAGAGCGTGCAGAAGGGCGCCCAGGGGCACAGCTCGAGCGGGGAGACTTACCACCAGAAAGAAACATAATGCGAGCGCCGGGGGAGGCAATCCGACTGAAACACAAAATGGGCACCGTGCAGGGGAGATCAACAATGATTTTCAGAAGTCAGACTGCAAAGGCTCTGACTGAGACATCCTTACCATTCACCTTGGAATATCGCTCCCGTTCAAGAACTCCTTGAAACGTACTCAGGAATCGCGCTCTCGGCTCGGAGTTCCTTGGAAATGCATCTAGGCATCCCGCTCTCGACGCTAAGCAATTTGTCTTTCGCCTGGGATGTCTTTGCAACGTATTGAAGAATAGCGCGTTCGCCACTCAATAATCGCACTCTCGCCCAAGACGACATCGCAGTTCATGTAGGACTCGCACTCAAGCAAAATACTGCCTCAAGCTTTATCTGATGTTGCTCCAATCGTACTTAAGGACCAAAAACCTGAAACAAAATTCGAGTTCCAAGAAAAGTATCGAAACAATGTCGACCGAGTATCGCCTCCCAGAGCCCGACACGTGAAAACATTCGAGTTTCGGTACTTTCTTGGTGCTTGAAATTGCTCCTGGTGGTTCAGGCTAAAGTAGGTTGGAACATCACAAGATTTACCTGGGAATCCAGCTTCAATGTCCCGTCCGCTCGATCTCCTACCGCCCGCCCGCCCCGCCCATCAGGGCCCGCCCATCCCACCCGCTGGTTGGGGCCCGCCCGACACGCTCGTGAGGGTCCTTTCGCTTGCTTGGAAGCCTGGCCCGCCCGCCCGCTCCAGTGCCCCGCCCGCCCGACCCTCCCGTGCAGGTGAGCCCACCGGCCCCGCCCGCCAGGGCCGCCCGCCAAATCCGCTCGTCGGGGTCTGCCCGTTCACCCGCCTGCTCGCGTTCATGCCCCGCCCTGCCGACTTGCCCCTTAGGGTCCCGCTCGCCCGTTAGGGTTGGGGTCCGCCCGCCTGACGCGCCCGTACGGACCAGCCTTGCGCTTGTTTGGATCCCCGTCCGATCGCTTCACCCGCCCGCCCGAAACGCACATCAAGGTCCGCTCACCCGCCCCGCTCGTCAGGGCCCGCCCACACGATCTGCCCCGGGGGCTCGGGATACGACATGTTGAATCATCGCTCGCGGGAAGAGAAGAGCGAACAACATGCAAAATATTGATATGTTTGTCGCCGTCGCCCAATGACACGGCACGAGACTCACCAGCGCCGCGAACCACCGACGACCCGCCTGGGATCCGCCCGCGGCCCACCCGCATCGCACCCGCGACGCGACCCACCCGCGACCCGCGCTCGGCCCACCCGCGCCTCGACTCGTCCCGCGACGACAGTTCGTCAACCAAATCGGGTCATACGAAGAGCTGATTCACATCGGCGAGGGAGAGCACGGTGCAACCCCACCCGCGCGAGCCGGCGACGATGCGCCCTGCGAACCATCAACGTTGCTTCAACCGAATCGGCGTCTGCGGTCGGCCGATGCACCCACTCTGCTTTCGAAACCAACAAAAGCAACGCAAGCAGCGGGCTGCTATGCTTTGGCTGTGACGCGTACCAGAGTATACCTTCGCCCGTGCGAGCCAGCGACGCCGCGCCCTGCGTCCCACCCACATTGCTTCAACTATATCGGCGCCTGCGGCGCCCCGAATCACCCACATTGCCTCCCATCGGCGCCCGCGGCAAGCAACTCGGGAGCCCCCTCACTCTTATCCGAAACTGCGGCGGTGGATTGGGCACGCCAGCCTCGACGATGCTTCACAGGCACCCGTCCAAGGTCCGCGCATGTTCTGGACGCGTGCTTCCCCGCACAGAACTGCTGCGCAGAGCGAACCAGAAGTCTGGGGCGGAGCGCGACTTCGTCGACGAGCCCTCGAATACTGGCACGTCTCCTTACAGTCAGACCTAGGAAAGAAACACATCCTTCAAGAACATGAGAGCCTCCGCCGGCCAAAACACACAGAACATCCATTGGTATCCGTCCCAGGATGCACAAACAACATCCAACAAACACGAAGAACATTGGGGCAGTTACCCTCCCCGAACCGACCTCGATCTTATACTTCGGTCCGACCGTACAGCAATGATACCGAGCGTCGAGCAAGGCGCTGCCGAGTGGGCTCCCTCGGGCTGCTGGCGCGGCGCTGGCCGCGGAGGGCGGAGGTGCCGTCACCCTCCGCGTGCCTGCGACGCGGCCCGTCGCCTGGCCTGGAGGGGAACGCCCGTCAGAGCACGTGGACGACTTCGCCGCCGCGGGGGAGGGGGGGCGTAAATGCCACCGCGGCGGGGCGCCCCGTGTCCGGGAACGGTGGCGCGGCAGGCGCAGCCGGCGAGCACGGCCAGCCCGACGGCGAGGCCCATGGCGCGGCCAGCGGCGCGGGCGGCGCCGCCGCGGCAGCTCGGCGAGAAGCGCATACTGACCGCGCATGCGACCAGGCATGCGACCGGGCATGGAGGAGAGCAGGAGGAGGAGGAGGAGGAGGAGGAGGAGGAGGAGGAGGAGGAGAGCATCCTGACCGGGCACCCTGACGGCACGGTCGAGTCGGGCATGCGACCGGGGCATGGAGTCGGCCTCCAAGGTGAGCGAGGCGCGCATGCTGCCCGGGGCGCTGGCTCCGGCGTGGGCAGCGGCCCACTCTCTTCCTCTCGCGCCGGCGAGCACGAGAAGCTCGCTGCGGCGCGGCGGGCGGCATTCCTGCGGGGGGTGCGCATGCGGGCCAGCAGGGAGCCAAACGGCGGCCGAGACGGCGCCCAGGGCCACGTTCTGCGCCTCCTTGTCGCGCTGCTGCCGAGCTGGCGTGTGGCCTGGGTCGTCCCGCTCTGAGTATTTCCTAAGGGCGGGAGGTCTCAGGGTGAACTCCATATATGGGCTTTTGCAATTCGAGAATCCATCCGTCTTGTGACTCACCTTTTGCAGATTCAAACCTCGCAAGTCAATCGAAACAGCATTTGAGATTTCACCCTTTGCCCTCCACCCAAAGAAAATGCTCGGGCGCTGCTTCACTGGCCTTGCAGGTTCGGGCTCGGGATCGGGCGAGAGCCTCGCCGTGGGGCGGCCCGACCTCGTACTTGCCCGGCCTGGCGGCGCTCAGTCGAACTCCCGACGTGCTGGTCTGGTGCGAGACGTCCGTCCAAGGCCGCGCTGACGGCGTGCTCGGTTAACGGTGCGGTTGGGAACGTGTTTTTTGTGGCACCGAGCTCACGCAAAGCAAAATGTAGGAAATCGCGAGACACCGCTTCCTACGTTTCAAATATGCGAATGTATCGAAACAACGAGTTGTAGGAACACACGAACCACGCGTTCCTATACTTGGTTTGGCCACGAACCACGCCTTCCTACAATTGGATGTTCTACTTCGCCGTTAACTAACACACCGTTTGCGCGTCTACGGGACGTGGCATCTGATGGGTCCGGCGGCGCAAATTCGACTCGGTGTGAGTCCTAGTCCGCCAGTTATTATGCGGATTCTGAGAGGCTGGCGGCGTCATTTCGAGCCAGGTGTGAGCTACGGCCTGCGAGCCATTTCGCATGCGAGCGGGGCAGGCATCGCGGCGTCCGATGATGGGTCAGGCTGCGCAAGTAATGGTCAAATATAAACCATGGCCTTCCTGCCCCGATTCGCCCATATTTTTGGAGGCATCGCCAGCTTGACCCCGCGGAAGTAAACGAAGGGCTGTGAGAGTCACGTCAGAACTTCCAATCAGCATGATCATCTTCTTCATTATGAGTATCACAAGTGGCTTCGCCACTCCCAACACAACCCCTAGCAACATAATCCACAATCTCAGCGCCACCATCGGCATCATCGTCTCCCGAATTGCTACAATCAACCAAAACCCAATCCTGTCAACTAGAAAGCTCTTTGAAGGACAACGTTGTGTTACGCATGCTGAGGTGATGATGGATACGTGCACAGACATCACGAACACACGCCCCATGCACAACACCCTAGCTCCTAACCGAACTGCGCTTCTGCAAAACACACATCAGACAACAAAACATCAAACTAGAAGCATTGCATTCCGTCACATGCGATCGCGTTCATTCTAGCACGCTGAGTCAATCCACTAACGACCAACGCTGCCATCAAACAACAGCACAAACATGCAGCATCGCCCACCCCCCTGCATGCCAGACACAGGCAAGACGTGTTGCATCTGGAGCTGGCCAATACATCGTAGGCAAACGCGTGTGTACTTTCTGATGCTCCCCATTTACGATCACGGCGCAACAATGATGTCGAACAGATGTGCTTTGGCATTACCCGTCGGTCGGAAGAAGAAGCTGGAACCATGAAGTAGGAAGGCGTTGAAGAAATATTGGGTTTCTGCCTGCCCCCCTAAAGTGGAGGGAAGAGGGAACACCACTCCACTCTGGAAGTAGGAAGGCGCCTAAAGTACATTGGGACTTGGGCATCCAACTATACTTCTTCCAACGACCGACGGGTACCATTGCCAGCACATTTGTTTCTCCTCGCAACTTGATCTCCCTTCTTGCCATGGCCGCCCGTCTCCTCGCCCTGCTCCGCATCCCGCCGCCAAGCTCTCCCGAGTGACCCTGCCACTCAAACCACAACAGGTGCTAGCCACCATTGTTAATACAGTCAACCCGCATAATAAGGACGCACGATAAGGATGCACGGGCCTTGGAAGGCCATGTCGGCACTCTGAGAGCGGGGCGCGGCCAGCGAAAGCGGCCAACGATGGGCAGAGGGGGAGGAATGCAAGGGTAACTTCGGAACGTCGCTCATCCTTCTTTTGCGGATTGACTGTGTGTTTCACCATGCACCTGGTTCGCTCTCAGCATGAAACAATGGCTCGACTCCGACGAGCAAGAAGCAACAGCAAAAGAATGATCGCGCACCGGGGGATTCAACACCAACGGGATCTTCATGTGATTATGGTCGGCGCTGTCCATTGAGCCCTGAGGTGCGCGGGCAAGATGCGCTGACATAACAACGGCATGCCGCGAAGCCAATATCCTATGGTCCTGATTATCGCAGCCTCCATTGGAAGGCACTGCCTTGATCCGTCTGTAGGCTACAGTGGAGGCCAGTCCACAAGAACCCTTCCACGAGAAACCCAAACCCTGAGACCCCAGGACGTCTATTGGTTTTTGGCTTGGGAACGTCACGCTTCCCATTGCGAAACCATCGAAACCCAGGAAACCCAGGGCACCCTGGAGGCAAGCAGGGTTTTTTTGGGGGCATGGGTCTTCACTGCAGGGCCTCGGGCGCTCCCCGCACATGGAGTCGACGCGGACCCCCGCGACGCCCCACAGATGACAGAACGGCCATCCCAGGCGCCCCCCGCAGAACCGAAACGCTGGTGGCCTCGGAGGGGGGGGTGAGGAGGAGGAGGGGAAGGAGGAGGGGGAGGAGGGGGAGGAGGACCAGGAGCAGGAGCAGGAGGAGGAGGAGGAGGAGGAGGAGCAGGAGGAGGAGCAGGAGATGGAGGAGGAGGAGGAGGGAGGCCGAGGAGCGAGGACGCGAGGGGGGAATCGCCCCCCTCCGCTCCCAATGGGCTGCGCCGCCCACGGAGCCAACGCCTCAACCTCCACCGGATGGAGAGCCCGCGCCGCCCCTGCAACGAGGAGTTTCGGGAAGCGCCGCCGACGCTCCGGGCCTGGCCTCAGGCTGGGGGCTCCTCCTCCTCCTCCTCCTCCTCCTCCTCCTCCTCCTCCTCCTCCTCCTCCTCCTCCCCTCCGAGGAGGCGAGCGCCGCTGTGAGTCGACGCCCACGCCAAGAGATCACGGCTTCGTGTCTTCGCGTCCCGCGTGCGGAGCTGCGCGCGAATGCCAACTGGAAAAAACAGGCCCCCTGGGATAAAGCCGGCTGCCCTTCCTGTTTCTCCTGCTCCTTCGCTGGTCGAGCGGCCTGCGGGGATGTCCTGTCGTGGTGTCCTGGCGGCTCTTTGGTTGGATGGTGCTGCAAGTGTGTTTCGAACGTGTGATCGCTCTTGTCTTCCATGACTCCCCGATGGTATCCCGATTGATGTCCAGACGTGCCCTGGCGGTGTTCCGACTGCACACTGATTGCGTCGTGTTCAGGCTATAGTAATCTGCAGATGGGGTGTGGCGATTGTCTCCAGAGATCATCCGACTTTCTCAAAACAGGTTCCCCAAGGCCGGTTTCCCTCCCGAAGCGTCTTTTGACAGTCTCGAGGCCGGGTGAGGGGCCCCGGAGGCCGAAGAAGGCAAACGAAAGCCCGCATTGCGCGGCCAAGGTGTATATCCACATCCACTGTATCTGCGAGTTCCGGGTTCCCTGCCCCAGACTTTGGAGTTCCGAAACGGTGCGGTGACAGACCGTGCGGTGACCTCGAAATCCCCTAAGACCTCACCGCACGGTCCGTCAACGCACGGTTTTGAGACCTCGCATGCCCCAGTCGCCCGAGACCTCCGCGGAGAACAACCCGAGTTCCAAAACCGTGCGGTGACCCCGAATCCTCACCGACTCACCACACGGTGTGGTCGCCACGCCGTTTGGGGGCCCCTGACAGACACCCGAGGCGCAATGGATCCGCCGACCCCTGCTTGCCGGGGGTGAACAGGCATGTGAACTGGTTGTGTCTCCCCCTTTTCGCCTCCCGGCCCGGAGGGCCTCTGGGGCCCTCGGAGCCTCCAAATTCACCCCTGACGCCTCCAAGCTGGCCCAGAACGGCCTCACGAGGTTCACAAAGCCGCGGTCTAAGAAGACCACGTCCCACCCCAAGACCGCACCCATACGCCCAAGCGGGCCTGAAGGCTTCCCAAGAGGCGCCCAACACGCCTCAAGAAAGCTCCAAGAGCAACTCCAAGAGGGCTTCGAGAGGCGACACTTAGCAATTTCACATTGGTGTTCGAAGGATGTTTACGTCCTTTCGAGCTTTCGACACCCCAAGACGGCCCCAAAGATCGCCCCAGGACGGCCCAAGAATGCACCGAGAGCGCCCCAAGAGGCCCCTCAAACGACCCAGCATGCCCCATCAGACGGCCTAAAGAGGCACGACAAAAAACGACCAAGAAGGGCGCAGACGGCCTCTAGACAGACTACAAGAGGGGGGAAGGGGAAGGTGCCCAGAGGCAAACTATAATCCTGTAGACCGCCAAATGGTTCCCTCAAAGGCCCCAAGAGCCCCGCAAGAGGTCCCAAGACGCTCCCACGGGGCCCACAAAAAGCTACATGAAGCTCCGAAAAGACCCAAGAGGCCTCCTCGAAGCCCCAAGACGATCGAAAGAGGTGTTCAGACATGGGGTATCCCCGGATTCCATCCGCAATCCCCCCGAACACCCCAAGGCACTCTCAAAGGGTCCTCATCACTTCGTCTGGGGGTCCTCACGTCGCCTGGAGGTCGGCGGAATGACGTACGCCTCTGGAACACACATATTGCCCCTAGAGGCTAGGTTTCATCCATATCCAGTGCGCCTCGGCCTCCTGGCGCCCCCTCCCAGGAAAACCACAAGACGCTGTGGATATGAATATAAATCTTGCCGGCGCATTGGTTTTTACTCTTCCTTTCCCCCACAAAACATCACTGTCAACCCTACCACATCGCGATGCAAACCGTCGCTAGGCATACCACGGGCACCGCACACGCCGACCTGCGATACTGCAAGCTCATGCTATGAACCGGGGCTTGGGCAACCCACCAGCAATGCTAAATGCTCCGCATGCACACGGACATCCCCTGCGGCCCGAACGGCCAACGACATCCCCAACGCGCAGCGCCGAGAGGGAACAGCCGGCTCACTGAATTTTCACTGCGACGGAGGTCTGCGGTGTGGCGGCGGGCCTGCACGGTTTCCCCTGGGGCCGCAGGCGACCCGAAGAGAAGGAGGAAGAAGAGGAGAAGGAGGATGAGGACGAGGAGGAGGAGGAGGAGGGATAAGGAGGAGGAGGGATGATAATGATAATGATGATGAGGAGGAGGAGAAGGAGGAGGAGGAGGGATAATGATGATGATGATGATGATGGTGATGATGAGGATGATGATGAGGATGATGATCATGATGATGATGATCATGATGATGATGAGGAGGGGAGGAGGAGGATAAGGAAAGATGATGATGATGATGATGATGATGATGATGATGATGATGATGAGGATGAGGAGGAGGAGGAGGAGGAGGAGGAGGAGGAGGGAGGAGGAGGAGGCGGCGGCGGCGCACCGCTGAGACCCGCTCCTGATTCAAGCGCGGGCACCGGGAAACTGGGCCAAGCCCAGGGACGAGGGGGCGTCAACAGCCCGCACCACCCTCGTCCAGAAAGAAGGAGGGTTGCCGTGGACGGGTGCGCACCTTACCCCTTAGAAAGATCCTCGGCCGAGAGCCCACGCCACTACCGCAGTGCAGACCGCACCGCGGCAACAGCGGGGGCCCTATGGCCGAGGGTCTCGCCCCGCGAGGACCTCGTCCCTGAACCACTTTTGGCCTGGGGTCGGGCCTCCCCCGCAGAGCCTGAGTAGCGTGCGCCAAGCTGGCGCCTCGATGAGGCAGTGGACCCCGCACCTCCTGGAAATCAGGTACCGCCCCTCTGCCTGGACCACGTGGCCCTCGTGCAAAAAAACGGTGGCAGTGTCGGGGGCTCGCCCTGCTCCGAATCAAAACCGAAGGCAGCCCAGGCTAGCTGCACGGCAGCGCTGCGCGCCCGCCTCGGGGCGCTATTGCGCCTCACCGCTCGCACTGCCGAACAAAAAAATGAAGGGGCGTGGCCTCGCACCTGGCACCTGGCTGCTCCAAACGCGCACGAGACTTCGGCGTGCGCGCCGAAGCGTGGTACCACAGGCATCCAACTCCGCCCTCAGGGACCTCCTCGGGGTCGTGGGGAAACCAGAACCAGTTTCGGCATCGCGGGACCAGGCCGAGCAGGCGGCATTTCCTCCACGGTAGGGGTCGAGGCCACAATCTGGGCCGCCCGAGCCAGAAAACCAAAGGAGTGGTACACGTTTTTAAGCCTGCAGCGCAGAGTGTCTACTGCTAGGTCGGCATGCTGGATCTCGCCTGCACCGACCTTCGCAAAGAAATCAGCCCACGTGTTCCCAAGAACATCGAACACCGTCGACACCTCAGTACCACTTGGGAACACAAGGGCCTGCACGAGCTCATCTAAAACGCCGCGCGCTGGCGTTCACTGAACAGAAGGTTTCTAGTGTCTTCCCTTGTAAAGCTGGAAAACCTGCCTCCAAATACTGGCATGGTTGCTGCCTCCTCTACTCAGCTCGGGGTTCCAGCTGGCACCCTCCTTGACAACGGACGGGTGGTCCGATACTCGGGTCGGGCGAAAGGGGGGATAGCAAAGGGGGGTTTGAGCATCAGCTCACGTAGCTGATTTTCCCGGCGCCTCCCGGCGCCGGAGGCGGCCATGTATCGAGGAATGGGCTCCTCGGTGAGGCCGAAACCAGCTGCATGCAGCAAATTTCGTAACCCCCCCTTTCCCAATCCCCCCCTTTCGCCCGGCCCGAGACACAACGGTGGTCCCCCAGGGCCCTACCTTCAAAACCTCCAGGATGGCCTGGCGCTCCGCCCTCGGCACCGTCTGGCACCTTCCTCCCAAGGGGCCAAAACGGGCGCGGATCGGAAAGCCTTTGGCAGTCAGCTCGACCACTGACCAGCCGCATCTAGTAAGCTCGGGGACTCCGTTGGCTTGGCCGCTGCCGTCTGTATACAGCCGCGGCCCCCACGGAAGATGACAGGTTCCCCAGGACCAGACTGGAGCGGCACTCGGAGCGGGCTCGACGCAGATCGGGAAGAGGGGAGGCCCGTACGCCAGCTCGACGGTGTCTAAGTCGGGCGGCAGACCCCGAGCCGAATCGATCAGATTCTGCCTCTGCTCCTGCGCGTCGCTGGAGAGAGGGTATGCAGCGTCGGGATCCTCATCACCTTGCTGCCACACCTCACAATCATAATACTGGTGTCCGAACGTGCCTTCGGCCACTCCGCAACACTGTTCATTTCGAACTACTGGGATATCCCATCGCGAACTTTCGCGCTGGGGGGCCGCAGTCCTCCCCCGAGCAAGCGCCTGAAGGTAGCCCTATGCACAGAATCTCGCACCGAGTTCACGCCCAGCCGCAGCGCTCGACCCACACATTCTCGGACTCGTGCGCCTCGGGAAAAATGGAAAGCAGCTGCACCATCTGGGCTCGATTGATGCCCTATCTGAGCTGCTGCCTGACATCACTAGGAGAGACTAAAAACAAGGTTAAAACCTCGTCCTGGTCTGTTTTGATCACATGGGGCCCGACGCGAACACGGCAGAGGCTAAGGTAAACTGCCCCGACGGGGCCACGCACCAGCCTCCATAGGGGCTGCCGAGAAAGCGTTTCGTGAGCCTTCTGCCAAGCCTTCAACAAATCAACATCACTCACCCGGCGATCCCAGACCCAACAGCAGTAACGAAGCACAAACGGAACCGTCGCGTCAACCACAGGATCGTAGCTGGGATCGTGATGGGTGGCAAGGTAGGCTGTGTGATGCACCCTGTCTCGGACTCCCATGAGCTCAGCAGCCAGCGCTCGCAACGATCTTAAAATAGAGTCCTGGAGGCCCATAATCGCCGCCCCGTGTCCCCCGCTGGGCATCAAACCCGTGCGCCAGAGCGCGGCCATCTTAGGCCCAGCAGTCCTCTTGAGGACTCGCAACTTCGCCCGACGTTCCTGGAGTTGTCGGTGGCGGTTGTTTTCGATGGTACGCTTCGCGCGCCTCCCGAAAAGGTCATGGCCCAAATTCCTTAAGTGACACTTGCTCCTGAAACCTAGGAGCGAGGCGTCAAACTTAACTCGCTTCTCTGCCGCAATGCTGTGGGCCAAGTCGCCTGACTTGTTAGGCTGAAGCAAGAGGCCAATCGGTGCCACTCGATGGCACAACTCGCGCACAGCCTTGAACACCACAACAGCTTTCGCAGGGGAGGGAGGAGGGAGGAGGGTGGAGGGAGGAGGATGAGGAGGAGGGAGGAGGGAGAGGGAGGAGGGGAGGAGGGAGGGAGGAGGGAGGAGGAGGGAGGGGAGGAGGGAGGAGGAGGAGGAGGAGGAGGAGGAAGGAGGAGGAGGAGGAGGAGGCGGAGGAGAGGGGAGGAGGGGAGGAGGTAGGAGGGAGGGAGGGAGGAGGAGGGAGGGGAGGAGAGGAAGGAGGAGGAGGAGGAGAGGAGGAGGAGGACGTGTCGCCTAAGCCCTTCGGAGAAACCCTCCAGGCGGGCCCTGCTGGGGTTGGCGGGCCGGCCCGGGCCCCGCCGAGTCTCCCCCCGCGTGCGCGTGCTGGCAGGGGCGGACGGCCTCCGAGTTCGTCGACGACCGCTTCTTGGTCACCTCCAGCGGCCGGCGGGAAACGGGCACGGAGGGGGGGGCAGGGATTTTTTGTTTTGGGTTGGGGGGCGAGGAGCCACGAAGGGGAGGGAGGTGCGGGGGAGGAGTCCTCCCTCCCTCTCTCCCTCCCGCCGATGAGCCATGCATCCGGCAGGACGCGTGGGCGGAAGAATGCGCCATTGGCAACTCTTCGGGTCGATCACACCAAATGCGAGAATGCGGCACGCCAGCGCAACGGAAGATGTAGCTCCCATGATGTATCGGTCACACCTGATAGGGGGGCAGGGATTTTTGGGGGGGAGCGAGGCACCACGGAGGGGAGGAAGGGGCGGGGGAGGAGTCCTCCCTCTCTCTCTCCCTCTCTCCCTCCCGCCCTCCCTCCTGGGAGGGGCGGGGGTCCTTCTCTCTCCCGATGAGCCATGCATCCGGCAGAACGCGTGGGGGGAAGAATGCGCGATTGACGACTCTTCGGGTCAATCACGTCAGCTGCGAGAATGCGGCACGCCAGCGAAACGGAAGATGTAGCTCCCATGATGTATCGGTCACACCTGATAGGGGGGCAGGGATTTTTGGGGGGGAGCGAGGCACCACGGAGGGGAGGAAGGGGCGGGGGAGGAGTCCTCCCTCTCTCCCTCCCGCCCTCCCTTCTGGGAGGGGCGGGGGTCCTTCTCTCCCGCCCCCTTCCCTCCCTCCCTGCCGCCCTCGGGTAGTGGAGGAAGGGCTTGTTCGAAGACCGCTGTCCTGTGGGTGCCAACGCTCTCTAGAGGGACCATGCAGTGGTTGCCCATCTGCAGCTCGTTGGACGGTGGTGGGGAGTTCCCGATCGTGCCCTCGCGATCCTTTCATCGAGCTCCAGGCATGTATTTGCGGCTGGGAGGGAGGGGGGGGGAGGGGGGGAGGGAAGAGGGATGGAGGAGGGAGGGGTGGGAGGTTGAATGGGGAGGGAAGAGGAGGAAGAGGTGGAGAGGCGCTCAGATACTCCAACTCGTCCCCCTCTATTTCCCCTGAAAAGTCGCAAGCTGAACAGCGACCATGGCCGACAATCAGACTGGAGATCTTAAGGGTTGGCTCTGGACCGCAAGCTGCTTACACTAACTATGACGATTGCCTAAATAAAGCATCGCGTCAACGAAACAAGCCATCGCCCGAGACTCGGAAACTCGTCCTCGCCCTCACTGGCATTATCGTGACTCAGCCGACGCTGCACTCGTAAGACTACGAGGTCTTGGGTTTCCACCACGGGAACGATCAAGACGCAGGGGGACGGGCAAGAAGTAGAACATCATGAGAAGCACGACGATGTCTCACTTCTGTGTAGCTCCTGCATGTCGGACGAAGCCATGATGATACAACAACCATAGCAACATCGGGCACACACACACACACGCCGAAACCACCGACCACTGGGTGTCACGGCCGTTCCCCCCCCACAACAAACCTCCAGAACGCCCCAAGAGCGTTCAAGAACGCTCTGGTGCGGTTCATCGGTTTCCGAAACATGCCCAGCATATGCCCTCGGCCAACAGCCTCGTCCACACGTTCCTGTGGAGCCCGCTCCTGCGACTATGCCTGAATACGCCTAGTTGGCATCCCCCATGCCTCGACTCCCCCCTACTGCCGCCGAGCTTGCTTCTGTGACATATGATGCTGCTGCGTAGAGTGCTCGAGTTCACCTGGATCCTCATGCTGTGGTCTTGCGTCTGCGCCTAATGTTCCTCCCCCCCTCCTCCACCACCTCCTCCTCGCTAGTTCTCATCCCACTCCTCCTCCTCCTCCTCCTCCTCCTCCTCCTCCTCCTCCTCCTCCTGCTCCTCCTGCTCCTCCTGCTCCTCCTCCTCCTGATCTGTCTCCAGAACGCCGTCCTCCTCCTGCCCCTCCTCCACCCATTTCTCTAGGCATTCCTCTCTGGCAGCGGAGTCCAAGTAATGGACGGTGAACTTGGACATCAAAATGCTACCACGCGGGCCATAACGAACGGTGGAACCCAACATCATCAGCTCAGAGCCGGGACTCAGTCCCACCAAAGTGTGCAGCCGGACAATGGCACCCTCCTCCGTTTCCCCGCGCCCGCCCCCTCTTCCTCCGCCACCGTCGCCGCGGCTCCGCCACCCAGAGAGCTGCGCAACAGCCACCCAGGGCGCGCTCCTCTCATCACGAGTCCGCATACGTTTCTCGCTGCACGGCAACTCCGAGCAGCTCCAGACTTTCCGCATCTGAGCGCGGATGGACACTGTCAGTAGCAATGTGGAGGCGTGTGTATTCGACAAGATAAGCAGTGGCAACAAGGCATGTCGGTGCGTCAAGGCCGGGCGTAGCGGCAATCGGGGGACGGCATAGAGCCAACCGCCATCAGCTACAGCACCGCGGCGAGCAAACAAGGCATGCGGTGGCAAAAAGCAGACACCGCCGCTTGCGATACAGCATTCTGCGGCGAAAAGGGCAGTGGCTGCCAGCGGAGTGACGAGACTGACCCAAACGTCATCAGCTATAGCACTCGGGCCACTTATTGCGAGAAATGCAGGCAGTGGCAGCCGTAAGCCATCGCCGAGTGTGCGAGCCAGCGTGCAGCAGCGGAGCATGCGAGAAGGAGGGCAACGGCAGCGAACGGCGGGTCGTGTCTGGGCCCAACGTCACCAGCTACCGCACTCAAATCCCAGCGTGCGAGAAAGGTAGGCAGCGTGACAGACGGCGATTGGCCGAAGCGAAGTTGGAGCCCGACGTCATACACTACGGCGTCTGTGAGAAAGGCCCACACCATGACCCTGCCGCAAAGTGGGGAATAACATGCAAGGCATGGAGGTTACCGCCCTGAGGCGGGGACTCCTCCTCACCAGGGCGGAGAATGGCGAGAAGGGCGAGCAGCGGCGGCAGGCGCATGCTCTCAGAGACTGAAGCCAGACGTTACTAGCGTGTGCGAGCGCGTGCAACCCGACCAGGAGTGCGAGCACGGGTGTCTGGTGCGGTTGGAGTACGAGGGCCTCGACCGCACGGGCGAGCATCGGCTAAAACGCTGGGATCGGCCCGACGAGGAGGCGCATGAGCAAACGTCGTCAGCTGCCTTGATGCGATATGCTCGCGCTTGGAATGGCAGGGGTGTCGAACCTGGCGTACCAGGGTATGCAGCTCTTGGCTTTCTGGGCCCCCCAGGGGCTCATGACTCTCTACTCGCCGCCAGCGTCGACCTGGGAGGGCCTGATAGTGCGTTGTCCATCAAGGCGATGTCGGCATGCTCGTCTCCGCTTGTCGACCGCTACATTCAGCAGGATCTCCCCCAATCTCTTTCAAGCCGCACTCTCCGCCGTTTCCTCTCACACGGCCTCCACATCTCGTCCTCCTCATTGCCTTCCACCTTCCCCCCGTCCTCCACCGCCTTCGCCTCCTCCCCTGTGGATCCTCTTCCTCCCGCGCCTCTCACGTCACGATCCCTCGTCTCATCCTCCGCCACATCCTCGTCCGCATTGGGATCCTCCTCCGCATCCTTCGGATCCTCATGCTCTCCGATTATTTACCCGTCCTACGCATACGATTCGCACTGCCAAGCCTCATCGTCGCCCTCGTCCTCGTCCTTGTCCTATGATACAGCGGAGCCCACAACTAACCTTGACGTTAATCGCAGGTGGCTTGTATCTTCGATGTTTCACGTGACGTGCCATCCGTTGCAACCGCTGGACGTCCGAGCTGCCTGGCCTAGATCCACAAGAGGCCTCCTGGAGGGGAGAATGCGTGGCCGTGGCTTGGAATCCAAGCGCGAGGGGAGAAGGATGAGGGCGAGAGGGGCAAACCGTGGCGTGTGTACACATCCCAACTTGACGAATATCATGCGGTATGGCGTGTCTGACAATCGCGCGCGGGACTGGCGATTCCGGACAAGAACTCACGGGCAAACCGGCTGCCCGCGATCCCTCGGGATCCTCGTGCCCGCGACTCTCGGTGAGGGGTGATGGGGTCACCGGCAAACATACGTACACAGACCGCTGCTATCATTGTTGTTCGACCTGCTCCCAGGTCGCGCTCGTGGCGGCTTCGGAGAGCGCCCTGACCACGGCGGTGCCGATCTCTGCACGCCACTGCCTCGTGCAGCCTCCTGCGGCTCATGCTGCTCCTGCTGCTGCTCCTCCTCCTCCTCCTCCCCCGCCTCCGCCTCCTCCTCCTCCTCCTCCTCCTCCTCCTCCTCCTCCTCTTCAATAGTGGTGGCCGCGACCGCCAACAGGCGAACGCAGGCGCGCGAGAGACCGTCAGTGTCAATGCTGCGCGGTGCGGTCCTCCTCCACCTCCTCCCCCTCCTCCTCCGCCTCCGCCTCCTCCTCTTCCCCCTCCCCCTCTCCTCCTCCCCGTCCCCCTCCTCCTCCTCCTCCCTCCTCCTCCTCCTCCTCCTCCTCCTCCTCCTCCTCCTCCTCTGCTCCTCCTGCTCCTCCTCCTCCTCCTGCTCCTCCTCCTCCTCCTCCTCCTCCTCCTTCTCCTCCTCCTCCCCCTCTCCTCCTCCCTCCTCCTCCTCCTCCTCCTCCTCCTCCTCCTCCTCCTCCTCCTCCTCCTCCTCCTGCTCCTCCTCCTCCCCTCCTGCTCCTCCTCCTCCTCTTCCTCCTCCTCCTCCTCCCTCCTCCTCCTCCTCCTCCTCCTCCTCCTCCTCCCTCCTCCTCCTCCTCCTCCTCCCCCTCCTCCTCCTCCTCCCCTTCCTCCTCCTCCTCCTCCTCCTCCTCCTCCTCCTCCTCCTCCTCCTCCTCCTCCTCCTCCTCCTCCCCCTCCTCCCAGGAGGAGGAGAAGTCTTGGTTCGGCTACGGATTTTGTTTCTCGAAGGACGGAGCCCAAACAAGTCACGGGCTTCCTGTCCCCACTCCCTCCCACGGTGAGGGCATTGTACTAAGAACCCTTGTGTACGGAACCCATGGACTGGAAGCCGGGGGAACATGCAGCGAGGCTTGGCCGTGGATGTCACCGCCGCCCGAATCAGTTTTCTTAGATCGGGACATTGGAGCCGCATGCCATCGCCTCTTCTAAAGGTCGCTTCGACTTCGCAAGTGCCAGGCAAACTGTGCTGGTATTCCCGGTCGGCTGGTCGCGGCGACGGCGATGCGGATATCCCCCTCGAGCCCCACGCCCCCTGAGAGGTGTGTCACCTCGAGGGAGGGGGCGCGGTGCACGCCGACAGCACCCAGTGCGCCTCAGCGCGAGCTGCTCGCCAAGGACTCTCTCCCGACAACAGTTCGCAGCGGCGCAGGGCGCACAGATCCGCGCCAAGGTCACGCAAGCACAAGCAGGGATTCATCGAATTGGCCCAGTGCCCCGCAGTTTCGGATGCGAAGCGGGAACCAAGAACCCGTCCCCGTATCGCGAAACAAACATTATAGATTTATCTGCATATAAGAAGGAAGTGCGACAGGGCATATCACGTCATTGGTAAATGACTTTGCCCCAAGAAGGCACCAGCATGACCGGGGGCCGCAACAAAGTCCAAACAACGTCGCGATCGGAATCGAGAAATCCAACAAACGGAAATTCATCACAAGCACATGAAGGCGGATACGTGCGGTGACGCGAAAAATCCGATGCTCCAGCTCCGTGTCCTTCTGATCCATGATGGAACACCCAAGTATGCGGCAGGGCGCTGGATAAGCCACGCGTGTACTCCACCTGCACATCGATGACGGTCTCAATGCCGAGGCTTATCTACAGATGCGGACACACACGAGCATCAGCATGCCGATGTTGAAGCTGACGATTGTGACCACGAGGTGCCCCGAATGCATCATCACGGCCACCAACTCCCAGCTCACCTTGCGAGATACAACTTCGTGGTAGGGGCCCAGGCCCTGGTAGCAAGGAGACATGCTAGCTTGATCCAATCAGCTTAATCCCATGGGCACATTTTCTAACGAACGCCCCCACCGTAACGCCCCCGCCCCTGGAGGCCGCCCAAATAAATGGGACCAGAGCAAGCGGGGTCGGAGGACTGCGCCGCATCGCCGATGCATGGACGACGTCGGGATGGAGATGGAGAAAACAACCGGTCCACATGGCCAATGCATGGCCGATGCAGCGGCGATGCGCCGCGACCCTGTGTCCCGTCTGCTCTGGCCCAGTTCGGGCGTCCTGCAGCCCCTCGCGCTGCTCATCGGGTCCAGCAGGGCACCCCCGAGCGAGGTGCAGAACACCCGAAAAGAGGCGGAGGCGGGCGCTGCTGCAAAGACGGATCGTCCCCCGCGCGCTCGCGCGCTGGGGCGCCCAGCCTTATCCCTCACGGCCCTCGTGATGCCGTGCAAGCGGTACCTCTCATCCCCGGTCACCTTCGCCGGGGCATCACGAAAAGCAGAAGCCTGCCTCGAAGAGCAGGGAACTACATGATCATAAACCTTCAGAGGTTCGCGCCGCGCTGGTTTTTGGTCGGCGCATCTGGCGCCGCCCCTGGGGGCCCAGCGCCGACGCAAGACACTCGAGTGGACCTCCGAACAAGTAAACACGTTCACGTCGCTGTTTTTTTGTTCGAACGACGGGCGTCTTGCCCCGTCTCGGGCCCTGGTGCCCTTGTAGACAGATCGGCGCGAGAATGCCAACAGAAAGATCGGGTCCCCAAACCTCCGACGACTCCTTCTTTCGAATCGACCCCAAAAAACTCTCGACCCCTCCCCAGGTTGTTCATCCCAAGTTGATGTTTGACTGTCCCAGAGCCCCGAAGCAGCCCCTCGGCGCCGACAACTGACGGACACATTCTAACGCGATGGAATTGGTGAAATTGAGCCGCCAGAATTCTGAGTAGAAAACGTGCGTTTTTTTCACGACGTCAACGGGTGCCTGGGGGGAACTGGGAGCAGACACCAGAAACGGGGCCGCGCTGGCAGCGAGAGACGAACTGGGCAGGGCCGGGCTGTCTGGCAACAGGCGGACGCCAGAGGGAAGTAGAGAGGCCCCAGGCAACTGGCGTCACGACAAGGTCGTGACGGCTGATTTTGCTCAAGTCCTGGTCTTCTGGGGGACCAAAGAGGCACGGCCAAGGACAACCAAGAAACAGGCAGGTACGAACACCTCGCTCTGACAAGGGGGCCACAGCCCAGGGGCCCGCGGTTTGAACAACGACGTCGGGGGTCTGGGAGAGAAGGGTGGCAGAAGGGGGGGACGACCCAATTGGATCCAGCATTACGAGCGAGGATGAGGAGGATGAGAAAAACACCGTCCTTATTCGCAAACCAATGCCTGCACGAAGGGCTTTGCACTTTGCTTTGCGCAATGCGTAGGCATTGATCTCTGGAATTTCCGTGGGTGCGCATCGCTGCGGTTCCCTAAGATTTCCCAACTTCTGGTCAGATGGGAAGGCCATCCAAGGTATCCTGATGTGTGGTCAGACGATTGGTTTCCCTATTCCCGGTCAGATAATGAAGGTGATCAGATGACGATTTTCTCATTGTGGTCGGATGATATGATCCCCTCAGCATCCCAAATTCGGGGTCAAATAACAAGACATGGTCCCCTAAGGAATCCCCCACCTCGTGGTCAGCGAATCTCGTGCCTTGAAGATTTGCCTGTGTGTGGCCAGATGGTACAATACCTGATAGGTTCCCAAAGACACGGTCATAGGATAGGCTCCCGTACTGAGTTCTCGTTGCGGTAACTGAGAAGGTTCACCCCGCCTATGGCACCACGCATATAGAAACCCATAGACTCTCCAGGCAACAAGAATGAATAGACTGCACCCCCTCCCCCCTCCCCCGGGTTAACGATCACTCACCGAGACACTGCAATTTACATGCGTATCGTCCCCATCGCTCACTTTGCAAAACAATTCATACCATCCCAGCCAGGCCGGCATCGATCCCCCCCCTGACCCCTGCCAAATAACAACATGCGCGCGCAGTCGTATATTGTGAAATCTCATTGTGCGAGAATCCGATGCAAAAAACGGCACGACGTCCACACAGGCGCACACATAAAAATCACACCAAACACATGGATTCTGCAAACAGCGTGAAATTGACGCGTAAAAACCCTAAGGCTTCAGCGCAAGTAGAGCAAATGTCCTGCCTGCGCGCACTAGCAGTTCGTCCAGAACCCGCGTTCTTGTCTCACCACAAGGTGCATCCGCATTGATCCAACATGCGCCCATTGCACAAACCCGTATCACATACGTAATTCCATACTGACCACAAGCGGGCGCAACCACGCGCAAGGTTTAAATCCCGGCCAAAAGCATTGCTTTTCGAAAACATGTCACGTGAATTGAGCTCATGCGCGCACTTCTTGATTACAATGCCATCGCATAACCGCCGCTATCGTCATCTCGATTCGTCGCGGGTGCCGCCAGCATCGATCAATCACCTTCATCACGGACACACGCACATCATCGTCATCGTCCTCACCAACGTCGGCGCCGTCATTGGCCTTGCCGCCGTTGTCGACGTCATCATTGCACCGCGCCCGCACGAGTTACCGGCCCGCACTGAACTGCCCAGGTGCCATTGCGGCCTCTGAGACGCGCTGAGGAGTTCCCACCGGCACGCGCCATCGTGGCCGCAACAGTCGTGCAAACCAGCTGGCCGCTCTGCGCGCGAGATTGCGCGCGCCAGCGCAGCCGCGGCGATGCGCCAGCCAATGCCAAGGCCATGCGCAATCGTGGCCGCATGGGTTGTGCAAAACAAGTTGCGGGCGGGAGGGTCGCAACCTTGCACGAGCAGCAGAGTACGTTGACAACTCACGACTTACAAATCTTAAATGTATCCCATAGGTTGCACAGGGGCCATGTTTAGGGTGCGCCCACTTGTGCACCACGTCGTAAACATAATCACTCGTCGTTAGTCTTGAGAAGAGCATGGCGGGGGGCAAACAGATGCTAGGGGGTGCAACGAGGGACGCAAAATAACCCAATCAGCATCATGACGTTTCTTGACAGCAGGCAAAGGGAAACCACACATGTCTTGAGGAAGGGAAGCGGGATAGGACCGATGAGGGCAATTAGGTCTGGGTCAGAAAATGACGACCGTCGCTCGTTGAATAGAGTTGCCGACAGGGAATGGGACAGGCGCGATAGCCCAGTAGAGGACAAGTGGGGAAGAAGGGCAAAGACGGTAGGGGGAGAAACAATGGGACTAGGGAACAGGGATGCTGATGCCCACAAGATAAAAAGAAGGTAGCGGAAGCGAAGACGACACCAATTCACATGACAGGAATAATGAAAGAGTGAAAGCATACCATATGGAAACCAGGACGTCCTCTTAATTGGATATCGCCAGTGCGTGATAATTGACGATGCCATACGGGACCAACGAGTTTCTGGACCAGGCATTTGAGCCGATATGGCCTGAGAAGACGCGAGACGGATGGGGAAAAGGAGGAACACCTGTCCCCCAAAGAAGTAGAAAACGCTACCAGGCATCCTCGGTGGCAACATACGCGGCCAGCTGAATCCGCTGATCGAGCCGAACTCTGCTACTAATGATGCCAAGCCGTGCTATGTAGGAACAACTGGTATGCAAGGCTGCGACATTGCCCAGTGAGCGGAAATTCCAACAGTGCAGCAGCACTGGTGAAAATGGTGCCCCTCGCGTGAGCTTCACGATAACGCCCGAAGCGGCGTGCACGATCGCATCGCACCTGCACCACAAGACGCCCGCAGCCAAGGCGCGAAAGCACGGAGAAACCGCGCGGTGCCAGGCTGGCCTTGACGAGAATTTCATGTCCGGGCATGGTGAACAACGAACGTCGAGCTCAGGCCGGCTGACGGCTGCTTGAGGTCTGAACTCCCCTCGGAGTGCTCTGCACACTCGAGAAACAAGACCGAACTCGACGCATCGGCTATCTCTCTACCGTGGTGCGAACCAGGGACATGCCCGGCAAACCTGGAAGGCCACACAAGCTGACCCGCAATAGACAAACTCGCGCAGAGAACCTTGACCTGGGAGACAACAGACAGTCGAAATCTACAGTAAGGACGGGCGCCAAGAACACAAGGGCCTTAGAGGCCGAAATCTGTACTTTTTGGACGGGCTGGCCAGTGAAAACAACGAAGGACGGGCCGCAGAGGCAAGGACGCAAGGGTACCCTGAGGACCTCCGTGCGTCCTCGCTATGGGCTTTGACTGCAATGACGCCAGGAGGATACCCGTGACAATTATTCCCCTGGTATTTCGGTGCATGGGGCGAGGGAGGAGGTCCCGACCTTGGCGAGCATCGTCTTGTCGTTGACCGCGGCCCTGCAGATGTCCCTCCACCTGACGTGGTCGCTGCCTGGGGGGCCTGCGGCCGCGGGGCGTCGTCTCGCGACCGCAGAGGTGCCTCTGGGACGCTCCCGTCGTGCACGCAGCCCTCCCCCTCCTCCTCCTCCTCCTCCTCCTCCTCCTCCTCCTCCTCCTCCTCCTCCTCCTCCTCCGTCCTCCTCCTCCTCCTCCGTCCTCCTCCTCCTCCTACTCCTCCTCCGTCCTCGACCGCTCCTCATGCGTCACTTTCCACCCCGCCGATCCTCCTCCTCCTCCTCCTTCTCCTCCTCCTCCTCATCTACATCAGCATGATCACCGTCATCAACATCAACATCAACATCAACATCAGCATCGTCATCGTAATCGTCATCGTTATCATCATCATCAGCAGCAGCAACAACAACAGCAGCAGCAGCATCATCGGTATCGGCATCCTCTGCCATCATCGTCATCGTCTACATCACCATCACCATCATCATCATCATCATCATCATCATCATCATCATCATCATCACCATCATCAGCATCAGCATTATCACAATCATCAAAATCATCATCATCAGCATCATCATCATCAACATCACCATCACCATCACCATCACCACCATCATCATCATCATCATAATCATCGACATCATCATCACCACCACCATCATCATCGTCATCATCATCACCATCATCAGCATCATCATCATACTCAGCATCATCATATATAGCAACAACATCATCAACATCATACTTGTTTGTCCATGCAAATTCATGAGGACTTGCACCGCAAAGATGGACGCTTTTAACCGCGGCCGAAGGGCGACAGTTACACGGTTCAAATGATTGAGCCAACCAGAATCGTCAACGGCATCTGCTCGACTTACCTGTATCACTGTGGTCCTCACCCAATCGCAGGGCCATGTTCTAACATGTCATTATCCTCCTACTCCTGCCCTCACCTCCATGTTCTCGTCGTCGTCGTGCTCCTCCCCCTCCCCCTTCATATCGCCCAACAAACATTTACGTCGCGAACTGGCATTCCTCTGGCCCGGTATGTGCGCAGGGGTCCTCGGGCCCGAAACAGGGCCAGAACGGCAGTCGTGCCTGTTTCTTTGCGAGGCACCCAGACATCACGACGCTGGATGCGACGCCTGCGGAACTAACGTCAGAAGAAAAGCGAGCGGCCCCACCAGTGCAATCGCATCGCGGTCAACTCTAAGGTACACCATTATCCTGCAAACTTGTCATATCTACACGTGTGTATGTATATATATATATATTTATATATAAAAATGTGTGAGCATGCGCACCTCTCCGACGGAGTGGAACTCAAAGGCGATTAGTGGTGAAGCAGTCCTGTCTAGTCTGCGTGCTTTTTCTGGCCGTTCGCTCGGGACATCCTCACGACTCTGACAATTAGACGTACCCCTCACGCAGATCGCGACGCCAGGTCAAAAACAATAACAACAACACAACTGATGCTCAACATGTGTGAACAAAACCTTCAGAAACAATGTGCAGACGAAACTATGCGATGCAAGCTTTGGTGTACGCTATGTGGTGTTAACTATGTGCTGTGATCTGTGGATGTGAAAACATGCGTTGCAAGCTAGGGGATGTTATTCCCCAATCAGAACTTGCCTCTGTAGGGGTCCTAGCGGATTAAAGGTTTAGGTGAGAGGTGCGGCCGATTTCGGTGGCCGGGCCCGGGTGCCCGGGTGCCCGGGTGCCCGGTGGTGCCCGGGTGCCCTGGTGGCCGGTGAGGTGCGTGGCCGATTTCGGTGCCGGTTCCGGGTCCCCGGGTGCCCGGGTGCCCGGGTGCCCGGGGTGCCCAATAGCCCAGTGGCATATAGCCCAATAGCCCAATAGAATAGCCCTATATATATACATATATATAGCCCTATAGTTTTATAGCCCCATAGCCCTGTATAGCCCTATAGCCCTATAGCCCAATAGCCGAATAGCCCTATAGCCCGATAGCCCCATAGCCTTATAACCCTATAGCCCTATAGCTCTACAGCCTTGTAGCCCTATAGCCTTAGCCCAATAGCCCAATAGACCTAAAGCCCTATAGCCTCATAACCGAATAGCTTTACAGCCCTACAGCCCCATAGCCCCAACAAAAATCTGATTGGGGTTTTTCTCCGGTGTCATTATTCCCCAATCAGAGCTTGCCTCTGTAGGGGTCCTAGCGGATTAAAGGTTTAGGTGAGAGGTGCGGCCGATTTCGGTGGCCGGGCCCGGGTGCCCGGCGGTGCCCGGGTGCCTGGCGATTCCCGGGTGCCCTGGTGGCCGGTGAGGTGCGTGGCCGATTTCGGTGGCCGGGTCCGGGTGCCCGGGTGCCCGGGTGCCCGGGTGCCCGGGGTGCCCAATAGCCCAGTAGCATGTAGCCCAATAGCCCAATATAATAGCCCTATATATAGCCCTATAGCCCTATAGTTTTATAGCCCCATAGCCCTATAGCCCTATAGCCCAATAGCCGAATAGCCCTATAGCCCTATAGCCCGATAGCCCCATAGCCCTATAGCCCTATAGCCCTATAGCTCTACAGCCTTGTAGCCCTATAGCCTTAGCCCAATAGCCCAATAGCCCAATAGCCCTATAGCCTCATAACCGAATAGCTTTACAGCCCTACAGCCCCATAGCCCCAACAAAAATCTGATTGGGTTTTTTCTCCGGTGTCATCTGTGCGCTGTGAGCTGGAGGTGAAATCTATGTGGTGCAAGCTATGTTGTGTTAACTATGCGGTGTGAGCATGTGGTGCAAGCCATGTCGTGTAAGCTATGTTGTGCACGCTACGTGGTGTAAGCCCACGGGGTGCCCATGAAGCGGCACGAGTGGCAACACGGCACAACCTCGGCCGCCCACCCAGCGCACGGGGCGCCCACCAGAGTCCACGAGGCTGCAACGTGGCGCAACCTCGGCCGACCCACCCAACGCACGGGGCGCCCACGATCCCCCACGAAGCGGAACAGGTAGCAATGTGGAAAATCCTCGGCCGACCAGTCCAAGTACTTACCTAACGCCAGGAAGAACCTATAAGTGCAAGCACTGCTTTGGCAAATGGTCTCTCATGATTTTGTGACTCCTGCTCTCACCATTCCTCCCCCAAGGGTCCCCCCCAGAGGTTTCCACCACGACTGGGGGAATATAACGCCCAATAGCTTGGCAAGACTTCGGCCCATCGTTTGGCCACAGGCGTTCCCAGGAAGGCAACGGGCGGCGGTGGTTCGCCGTATGCGTCCCCGATACTTGCCCCAACGCACCCTGCCGCCGCCTGCCGCTGCCAAGCGCACCCTTCCCCTGCGCTGGCTTGGTGCGCGCCCGCCTGGTGAGGTCGGGCGGCACTCGAGGTCGAGCACCTCCGGGGCGCAATCCGGCTTGACGCCCGTGGTCGAGACCACACAGATCAGCCCGCTTCCTGACGGTCAGCGTCCCCCCCTTCCCCTCACACGGTACGGGGTCCCTCCCGCCGAACGACGCGACGCGCGGGTCAGCAAAGGATCCAGCGGAGAACCCACTCGTGGCCCAGAGAAGGGGCCCGGTCAGGAGTACAGCGGGGCCGCCGCCTTCTCCCCCCTCCCCGTGCGCACGCGAGCCTGGATAAGAATCCTAAGGGACCGCGGCTGACGACCCTAGCACGGCCATCCCATCAGGAGGGCAAGCTTCACTTGCAAAGGTTAGCGCCCGTGGCTCCATCACCCACTCCTTTGGATACTCGTTTCATTCCGAACCCACTCGCCCCTCCATCCAACACCTTCCACTCCTCCTACTTTCGTCTGTCCACTCATCCCCACCTTCCTCTATTGGGTTGAAGTGAAGACAAAGACACAGGGAGGTAATTTTGTCAAATTCGGTGAATATCGTCTGCGCTGCAACCCCGCCGTAGTCGGGGCTCGAGCGGAGAATGCACGAGGAGGAAGAAGAAAACGTTGGATGAGGGAGACGACAGAAATGACGAGAAGGGAAAAGGGGCGAACACCCATCCGCCTGTACCGTGGATGGAATCGCGCCCATCTGGGAGATCTGGGCGCGAAACGAAAAGCCGCAACCTCTGGGAAACTACGGGGTTGACAGCATGCCACTGTCGCGAGCTGATCCTCTATATTTCCATACTGAAGCACGCTGCGCCATGTGCCAAAGTCGTGTCATTCATGTCGCCGCGTCTTGTATGGGTAAAACCCCCCGACACATGGTCGCCCCACCGATTGGTTGACCGCCACGTTCGCGATTCAATTGTTTTGTCGGAGCGCGGCTCGGGTACCATTCGCCAGCCTTCACTGTAGCCAGCGCTGTTCTGCCTCGTATTGTAACGCTATGCAGTTTCATGAGGTGTTCCGGTCGATGCGTCGACCATCGAATGCAATACACCACGTGTTTTCCGATCCCTTTCGCTGTCGGTGTCGGCGTCATGTGGTGGTGGTTATGCGTCGTCAGTCGGCCGCGGGACTGGATTGGTCGGTCGCAAGTCATGTCAACTTGTGATTCGCAAATCCGTGTGGGGCACGTGTTTATAAAAAAGCATTTCCGTGCTCGGGCGAATCGCGGGGTGGCGCCCGCAAGATTGAAAATCAACGGCGGCAGCGTTGGTGATCAGCGCCGACGCCCGGCCGCCAGCGAGAAGGCAACAGACAGCACATTCTGGTTGAGGGGGGGGGCGGGGCGAAAGGGCGAGCCAGGGCGCCCCTCTTTTCTGCCGAAAAGCGCCAGGGTGGCACCAGCTGCCCCGCGGGCCTGCGGGCAAGGCGGGCTGGACGAAAACGGGGCGTGGCAAACTGGGGATTCGCCAAGCATCTCACGACGTTGATTTCCCAAGCGCCCCTTGGCGCCGAAGGCGGCCATGCGTCGAGGACTGGCCTCTCGGCGGGGCGACCGAAACCAGCTGACGCGCAGCAGGTTTCACAATTCCCCCTTTCTCTTCCCCAGGGCTTTCGTCCGACCCGAGCAAGGCGGGCAGCCCTTCTCCCTCCAGATGTCGTGGTCGTGGTCGTCGTCGCCAACGCCGCCGCCGCCGCCGTCGTCGTGACCGTCGTCGTTGGTTTCCTCATCGTGGCCCTCGCCGTCGCCGTTGGCTTCCTCGTCGTCGATTATCCTCCCACCTCCTCCTCTCTCCTCCTCCTCCTCCTCCTCCTCCTCCTCCTCCTCCCCCCCTCTGGCGCGCGTGACTACCAAAACAAATGTCGCGCCCCGCTGGGTCTATTCATCTGCCATGGGGAAGGGGTGGCACCCATCCGTTGATCATACGCTGACATTATTCTTGGTTTCGGCTCAACAGCACAAGCCCCCCACTAACGTTGCAAATCCCTGACCTAAACCGACCCAAGCCCTGGCAACAATGCGTCAAAGCTAACCCGACTCATTAAAGCTAACGTGAACAACGGCTCGGCGACACTAGGGTGTCACGCGCGCGCTGTAGCAAATGCTGCACCATAATGGGGCGGCACAGCAACATGCAATGCAAAGTGCAAACTGTATCACTAATCCCTCGTCGTCTCCAATGAAGAATCTGGCCTGCGCTGAAGCGAGAACAGTTTTCGCAATCATGAATGTGGCCAACATGAAAGCGCAAGCATCATTCACAATCATGGATGATTTGGCCGGCGCTGAGGCGAGAGCAACTTTCGCAAACGTGGATGTGGCTGGGGCTGAGGCGGGAGCAACTTTCGCAAGCGTGGATGTGGCTGGCGCTGAGGCGAAAGCAAAATCTGCAATCATGGATGTGGCCGCCGCTGAGGCGGGAGCAACTTTCGCAATCGTGGATGTGGCTGGCGCTGAGGCGACAGTAATTTTCGCAATCGCGGATGTTGCCGACGACGACGCGAGAGCTACACTCGCAATCATGGATGTGGCCGGCGCTGAGGCGAGAGCAACGTTCGCAATCATGGATGTGGCTGGCGCTGAGGCGACAGCGGTCCTCGTAGTCGTGGATGTGGCTGGCACTGAAGCGAGAGTGACACTCGCAATAACGGATGTGGCAGGTACTGAGGCGAGAGCAATGTTCGCAATCATGGATGTGGCCAGCGCTTAGGCGACAACTACACTTTCAGTCAGAGATGTGGCCCGCACACGAGCTGGAACATCAATTCGAGACAAACGTGTCGCCAGAATGTAAGTGTCACGCCCATTCCGCGCGAGCCGGGCTCGGTGTCACAGAGGTCCAGGTCACGTTAGGTGGGTAGTCCATGTCAGGGGGGCGGGTGTTGTAGCAGGCGGGCGGGAGCCATGAGAAGAATCACAATTGCAATTGCTGTGTCGCTCCTGTCTTATACTTCTCCGCGGTAAGTTCACGATCGTGCGCAGCATTTTTTCCTGCCCTGCAGAAATGTTGCCTGATAGGTTCTGCCACCGTCCGAGTAGCAAAGCCAGAGGGTACCGGTGGCGTGATGATACCTTGGAGCCCTTGGAAGGACACAAAATTGTGCTTGAATTGGAAGATGCTTGCTTGCTAATTCCTGTTAGTTAGCTGCGCGCGCCGTTCACCAAGAATTGATGCGGAAGTTTACCTCCGTCTAGGCTGGCCCACTGAAGCTGGTAAGTTGGCAGATTTATTATTCGGTCGCCCCAACGTAGGGTAGGACCCTGATGATCGTCCATTACAGTTGGACCTTCACTTATCCCAACCGCCTCGCGAGAATCGGCATTATCTTCAGTGTCTCCAGGTTTAATGTAAAGACCATGTGCTTTAACAGCTTGGATCACATCGCCAAGCCTTTCCATCAGTTGCGATGGCGTTTGGCTTGTCAAAAGTGCGTCGTCGGCCAGGGGATGTCTGTAATGTTGGCCGCCGCGGTGTGCCTCAATTGCGCACCACATTATGATCCTACCACTCTTTCACTAGAGGTGTCATGATGTACTCGAGTGCCGAACTGAAAAATGATGAGCTGAGAGAGTCGCTCTGCACTGTGCCCCGTGGGAGACAGAGCGGGCGGCTCGAAACATCCGTCTGCACCGTAGCCGACTGTCCATAGTGAGGCCTTCGCAGTGTATGCACACACACCCCAATTCCAAACCCTCTGCACGCATAACTTCTCTTAGTCTCGTCCAATCGAACCGAACGCCACCGGGAAACCAAATGGAGACGACACGATTGTCGATCGTAGAGCACTGAAATCCGAAGACTGTCCGGTCCTCGGCCAGCCGCTTTTCGAGCGCGGGCTGCAAACGGTTGTAGTGTAGCCCGCTAGACAGCCTGTGCACTGGCCAGATGAGATGGTGCAGATCGGCCTGTAGCTTCCTGTTTGTTGTCGATCTCTTAATTTAGAACGGTATTCAAGAGCTTCTTTAGCTCAACCGAGCTGTTTTGAGCATTTCAGACTGGATCCTCTGTGGATCCGGTGCGTTCTCGCTCTTGAGATATCAAAAACGACCTTGGTAAACTCTGCCATGGTGAACGGCGGTGCTTCTCCATGCGATGCTGGTAGCGGCGGAACGGGTCAGCTGAACTGAAGGACTGCTGATACAACTTCGCAAATGCGCTGTCGGTAACTTTCCGCGACGGTTTCCCCATCCCGCTCAAATCCTTCATCCGCGTGATCAACTTCTTCTTGTGCCCGGTCTTTGGAATGGTTCTCTTCTGTCCGATCGCTTCCGTCGGCGTACTTCCCGGCGTATAGATCCGCACAGCTGCCTCCGTGCTGCGTGGTCGGTCTTGGGCGACTGCTGCAGTGCTTGGATCAATCCAGTCCCGACCGTATGTACGTGTGCCACCTCTTGCTTGGGCGCATGCCGCTCGTGATGACCCTCTGCGGAGAGTGGTCGAGACCCTCAGCCGAGAGGAAGACGAGCTGCCCCGTGTGCGTCCTCTTGTCTCCCCGAACGGGGACCTTTCCGGCTAACCCTGTCGTGCTTGCAGTGAGATTCTTTTTTCATGTTTGGCGCCGTCGCCTTGTGATTGAATATGGTCTCTGGCAGCAGCCTCCCTTCTGGGTCCTGCTGACGCCTGGTGTTGTTTGTGCGCCGTCGCCTCTCAGCTGCAGATGCCTTCTTAACCCTTGTCAGGTTCCCCTGGGGTGGAATCGCCCGCTCCCCAGGGTGTATGAGGGTAGCTTGAGCCATTGATGGCAAAAAAAGCCACCTCTTGCTTGGATGATTCGGGTCATGGATTGGGTCGTCGTGGCACTGTCATGCTGCGGTGGGTCGCTGCAGCTGGCCAATCAGCACCTCCTCAATGTATACTCGCAGAGGTCTCCAGGAAGCTCAGGGAGGTGTGGCTGTAGACGTGCTCTTTGGCCAGCAGGGTGTCAGGCGACACTTTCGCTGGGATGTACTGGGGCGCACGGCGGGCGCTCGTTTGTGCCTTTGTTGCACGCCTCGTGCCAAGCTGATCGCACGAGCCTCGTCTTGAAAGCACTGGCTACGACGGATTTGTGGCCTGAGCCCGGATCGGCTGTGATACTGCCTCCGCATGCGTGCAGTGCAGGAACAGGGTTCGGCTTTCGGGTGTGCTCCTCAATGTCTGCGATCTGCTTGTCGGAGGGGTCCCAAAACCATATTCGCTACCATGAAAGCTTCACTGGACATCCAATGTCGGGGCAATGTGCCGCTAGAAACTTCTTAGTCATAGCCGCGTGGGCCTGCAACAATATTCCGTCCCAAGTCCCATCATCAGAAAGCCATTGGCGCCTTCCGCTACGGGTAGAGTCCACCTGGAATACAAGCGACCACTAGGGCTGCCACTCATGCGAAAGCCTCGTTTTGTAAAGGCAGTGCCCTCCATCCAAGAGTACAAGGGAAGCCCAGAGGTCGGATCTCAAAGTTCACGACAATGCACAGCAAGAACACAGTCCTGAAAAGGGCACCGCCAAACATGCGTGCAGCTGTTGTACAAGTGGGAGCTTCTCATGATGTCCCTTGGGGGAGACACCTCAAGCGAGAGCCCCCGCTTGGAGAGGAGCCACCGTCCATCCCTGCAGCCTGCCCGGGTCTTCTCCAACGACCGTGCGCTGCACCGGACTCGAGAGCCACATGATGGAAACGGGCCGCCGTCCGTCCGTGCAAAGGCTGGGCAACTCTCAAGCCCGATTCCCACCGCGTAAAGCCGATTCCCACATTTTCGAACACAACACCCGCGCCCTCCAATCGTGCAGCTGTTCGAACCTGTCAGAACCGAAAATGATCGGCGCGAAAACGACAGATACACTTTGAAGACCGGCCCCCTTCCATCCGTGTCACTGCGGGAAGCTTCGTGATGCATTCGTAGAATTATTGTGTTGTTCAAGCTTCGGGTTCATACAGTTCAAGGCCTGAAGCCAAACGCCCAGCCCGCCCTACAGACATGTTCGGTGGTGCAACGAGTCTGAGGCGGCGGAGGGCGGAAGGAAGAGGGGACGAGGTAGGAAGAGGGAGGAGGGAGTGAGGGGCGGGCAGAAGGGATGGAAGAGGCAGGATGGAGAGAAGCTTTCGCACCTGGGACCAGTGCTTCACTAAGGGCGAGGGGCGAGGAGCAGGAGGTAGTTCCTCTGAGTTCCCCGACCCACACAAGATGGTTGGAGAGGAGCAGGAGGGAGGTGGGAGTGTGGAGGGCAGGATGAAGAAAGACGAGTCACGAGGGAGTGACCCGGCCACTGCCGCGCGCTATCCTGGTAAGCTCTTCGAGCCGCGTCTAGCTGAGGCGACGACGACGGCCACCTCGGGGGGCCAACACACACACAGCAAGTTTAGCCTCCCTCCATCTTGAAGGGCGCACGAAGATGTGTGGGGGGAATTTGCAAGCTGGTTGGAGAGATCGCGAGCAACCGTTGAGAGAGAGAGCGAACAACTCCGAAAACTTCCGAACACCTGGCAAGCGCGCTGCCAGAGCCACGGCATGCATCGCCCACGGCTAATTACACGCCAAGGCCGCCTGTTGAACTGGCATTGACCACCCTCTTTGCCTCATGGTGACCTGCAGCCATATCTGCCAGGTTGCGTTTCAGGCAGCGACTGTTGCAAGGCCAGCCTGCTCCCAAGCGTCAAGCAATGCCAGCGCCAGTGAGGGCTCCGTGGAGAGGCCGTCGGCAGGCGCTGCGTTGACGCGGAGCGGAGCACGATGCAGCGCGTCCTGCAGGGCAGTCTCAAGCTCGGCGGTACGCAGAAAAGGCGCCGCAACCGCGCCCCGCTCGCTGAACCGCTGCTCCAGGTCGCCTCCGTCGCCGGCGCCGTCGTTCTCCACAGACCAGCCGCCGAGGAACGCGGCCGCCGCTGGGCGCGAGGCACCACGCGACAACGCCAGGTCGACGAAGCGCCGCACCCAGGCGCTCGCCTGCGCGTCTGTCGCCGACATCCACTGGTAGGCGCTCTCGCGCACCCACCGCCACGTCAGCGACACGCGCTCGCGGCGGCCCCTCGGCGACGGCCCCCTCGCTACCGCGCCTCGGAGCCCGCAGACACCGTGCCGCCACTCGTATCGCGCCGCGCCGCCCAGACGCACGACGGTGCCCGGGCGCTCACTGATCTGGTAGTCGTCGGAACGAAGGCCTCCGGCATCGTCGCTGGAGGTCGGCAGCCGCCGCAACGTGAGACACGGGGACCCGGCACCCTGCAGCACGAGGCCCATGACGGGCTCCTCGAACAGGCCGATGGCTCGGGGGCAGCCAAGAGGGGGGCGTCCAAGAGATCCAAGAGGGGGTGGCGCAAATCATGACCGGCGGCATGTGCACGGCCCAGGGGGGGCCCGCGGACGTAATGAAACAAGAAGAGGCGGCATGAAATCTGGGGAGATATCATGGCCCCCGCCATGATATCCATCCCCCCCTGGTCATCACCCCCCTCTTGGCCGCCCCCGAGATGGCGTCCTTGTGGAACTTCAGTGCCGGGTTGCTCTGGCAGTATCGGCGCGCGAGCACCGCGAGGCGCCGCTCCGCGCCTGGGCGCGGCACCAGGCCCGCCGCGGCCGTGGCGCGCTGGATGGCCCGGACGGTGTGCGGGAGATTGCGCAGCGATATGGCGGACCTGAGCTGCCGCCGATTCAGCGCCACCCTGTGTGAGATGCCAGCCTCGAGGTCACCGCCCTTGCTCCAGAAGTGGCCCTGGAGCTCCTCGAGCGCCTCGGCCAGCCCGGCTGGGCTCACGGAGCACACGTGTAAGCCTGCAGGTAGCGCGGGGGCGACGGCAGGCAGCGGCTGCGCGCAGGCTCGCGTCAGGGGCAGCGAGGAGAGGCCGAGGAGCACAAACATCGCATCATAGCGCGGCTTGAACCAAAATGGCTATGGATCTTAGCGGAGGCGCCGTAAGACTCTATCAACATTGAGAGCACGCCGCCTGAAGCCTAGTGCGACCTTGCTTCGCTGAAGCATGCGAATCCAGACTCGGTGCTAGCCGAAAGGGACAGCCAGTTGCAATCGACAAGATACATGAGGATGATGTTGACCACGATTGCGCAAAAGTATGGCACTAAACAATTCCTTACCTACCCTTGTCGACTTCTCGGTCAACGGGCAATCATACTTCGTGAACAATTCATAGTCTTGGTACCGACTGATAGACATTGCGGGATGTTGTAAACACCCAGTCGCCGCTATCACAATCGAGAACGAATCATGCAGAATTTACATCACGGGTGAACCACTCGTACTAGAGACAGACGCGCTTAGCTTCTGGCCCAGGACCCGGGAACGTCACGACACTGTGTGCCTGTCGCAATTTCTCTTGGCATTCCCTTTCGTACCTCTTGGGATGGCTTTTCGGGACTTCTCGGGGGTCTCTTGGAAACCTCTGGGGGCGAGCTCAGAAGATCTTGCCGTCTGGTAAATCTACAGTGGGGGTGCGTGTGCCACAATGCCGATGAGACAACGACTACAACGACCTTCGACCCCCGACGACGACCCTCAGCGACCCTCGACGACGACGCCGACCCTCGATGACGACGACGACGACGACGACGACGACGACATTGACGGCGACGGAGGCGGCGATGGCAACAACAACGACGACGACGACGGCCCTAGACGACCACGACGACGACGGTTCCTGGGGCGCGCTGCGGGCTGCGAGGGGAGAGGAACAGAAAGAGAGAAGAGGGCCGAGATGACGCCGCATAGCTCAGCGGCGTTCCTTCGCACACCTGCCTCGGCCCGAAGCGGTCGCACACGTAGTACGCGCCTGGGGGTCAGGCAAGGTAGGCAACGAGAGGGCCCTCTTACCTCCCCCGATCTCCAGGCGTGTTCTTTCTCGGACGGGTGCAGAGTTCAAGACGGCCAGTTTCGCCGCCCCGTTCCAGGTACGGATCGATCCGAACTGAGACATCCAGCAAAGCAAACTAACCGCATGCCGATGATAATAAAGGGACCCCCCCCCATCAGTGTTTAGAGTTGATTATCGTCGCCCTATACAAAATTCAAATTGGGCGGCGAGCGCTGAGGCCGAACTTCATTATCACCTCGAAACGCTATGTTGAGATAGCAACATCAAGCGATGTTGATATAGGAGAGAGCGTGATCCACCGCCGCTTTACTGTGGAAAATTGCCAACCTTTTCCTCCGGAGCCCGGGGGTCGCCCCCCCCCCTCCCCTCCGAAAATCCCCCCCCCCCTGCTGGAACCCCTCCCCCCCCCCCCCCTCTTCCCCGGCAAACCCCCCCCTCCCCTAACCCCTCCCCCCCCCCCCCCCCTCCCGCTCGAAAACCGGGGGGGTCACTACCGGTTCGAACCCCTCCCCCCCCCCCCCCCTCCGGATCCGGAAAACCGGGGGGGGCCACTACTGGTTCGAACCCCCCCCCCGCCCCCCCCCCCCCCCCCCCCCCTACTCACCGCCAGCAAACGACTCCCGGTCCCCACCACCGTCCGCATCACATCCCCCACTGGTGTTCCCAGCACCACTGTCCTCACCACCGCTGTCCCCACTGGTTCCACCACCGCCCCTACTGTCCCCACCAGTGGCCCCACCACTGTCGCACTGTCCCCGCTGTCCCCAGAACTGTTCCCACCACGGTTCCACTCTCCCCACTGTCTCCACGGCCCCAACCACTGCCCGACTATCCCCACTGTCCCCACTGTCCCACTGACTCCTCCGCTGTCCCACTGAGCTGTCCCACTGTTCCCACCACTGTCCCCACTGTCCCCACCACTGTCCCCACTGTACCTCTGTCCCATTGTCCCACCGCCGTCCTCGCCACCGCCTTCACCACTGTCCCCACCACCATTGTACCCTCCACTGTCCCACTGTTTCCACCTCATTCCCATTGTCCCCACACCACTGTCCCCACCACCACCGTCACCACCACTGTCCACTGTCCCCCCCTGTTCCCACCATTGTCCCCACCACTGTCCCCACCACTACCGTCCCCACCACTGTCCCACTGTCCCACTGTCCCCACCACTGTCCCGCTATCCCCTCACCACTGTCCCCACCAACACCGTCCCCACCACTGTCCGCACCCCCACTCGGTTTTCGAGGGGGGGGGGGGTTCGAACCGGTAGTGACCCCCCCCGGTTTTCCGGATCCGGAGGGGGGGGGGGGTTCGAACCGGTAGTGACCCCCCCCCCTTTTCATGATGAGCAGGGGGGGGGGGGAGGGGTTCGAACCGGTAGTGACCCCCCCCTGGTTTTCCAGAGAGGGGGGGGGGGGAGGGGTTCGAACCGGTAGTGACCCCCCCCAGTTTTCCGCCAGCAGCGGTAGAACACGCTCTTTCTGATATAGCAACATCAAGCGAAGCGATCACACTTTTTCAGTTATTCTTCTCTTCTTTTTCTTCTTCTCTTCTTCTTCTCTTCTTATTATTATTCTACTTTCCTCTTCTTCTTTTATATTTCTATCTGTCCTCACGCTCGCCTGAACTTTTTTATCCCTGGGATTGATTATCCATGGAAAATGAAGCACATGAGCTACCCTACACGAGCACTTAAAAAAATCAATTTTCATAAAGCGTTTGTAAATTAAAATTGATAGATTTGGAACTTTGGATGTTTCCTTTCTTCGTCCTCTTCTTATTATCCTCTTCTTCTTCTTTCTTATTATTCTTCTACTGTATTCTTCTTCTTTTATATTTCTCTCTGTCCCCACGCTCGCCTGAACTTTTTCATCTCTGGGGTTGATTATCCATGGAAATTGAGGCACATGAGCTACCCTACACGAGCACTTACAAAAAAAACAATTTTCATAAAGCGCTTGTAAATAAAATCTAATAGATTTGAAACTCGAGATTTGTTCTTCTTTTCCTCCTTCTCCTCCTCCTATCATTTCTTTTGTTTTATTATTTATTCTTTTTATTTTTCTTTTTTATATATAGCTTCCTCCATTCCTCCGCCCGCCTGAACTTTATTATCGCCGCCGTTGATTATCTAGGGACGTTACAAGCGAAAAACACAATTAGTTCGAGGATGTCTCAAGCGAAATAAGCAATAGTTTGACTGTGTCTCAAGCGAAATAAGCAATAGTTTGCGGATGTCTTAAGCGAAACAAGGGATTTGTCGAGGATGTCTCCAGCGAGATAAGCCATTGTTTGAGGATATTTCTATGAAAACTAAACGCCAAGGATGTCTCAAAACGTGCTCGGCTTGGTCTCCTCTTGATCATCTCTTACTTCGAGATTATGCTGAGGTCTGCTGGGCTACTTTTATTATCTCTCCCTGAACCCCGAACTTTATTATCCCCTAGTGTTTATTCTCACGGGCATGAGGTTAGGCTGGAGCTCCTATCATGGCTTCTGCCGCACAGCGGCATGACTTGTCGTCTACTCACGAAGGCGGGTCTGGGGTCATCCCACTTCCCTCCTCTTTCCTTTCTCGGCTTTAGAGGGGCCCCTTTGAAATGACGGCAGCGCGGCAAGCAGCAGCGGCGGCACACGAGGTCCAGCAAAGCGCCGATCAGAACAGGATGACAAGGCCTCCCCCCCTGGGCCTTGGAGACGGCCGCCTCCAGACTTCGCGGATTCCACGGCGCCACCACATTCACATAGTGTTTCGGGGGCGGCCAAAAGGGGGGTGGGGCGGAAATCATGGCCGGTGGCATGTGCGCGGCTCAGGGGGCGGGGCCAGGGACGTAATGAAATTAAGAAGACGCGCCATGAAATCTGAAAAGATATCATGGCCCCCGCCATGATATCCATCCCCCCACACCTAGTCATCACCCCCCTCTTGGCCGCCCCCGAATGTCTGCGACACGTCACAACACATGGACAACGACGGAGGCACAAATGTCAACCGTGCATTCCTGCCGTCTCTCTTTCCCACTGCTCCCCAGCTTTGGGAGTGCGGCGCAGGGCGCGCGAGCCGAAGGGCAGACCCTGATCCTGACCGCGCCCGCGGTCACTGCGGCCCCCCGGATCCTGCAGAATCCTGCAGGATCCTTCGCATTGACCCAGGCTTGGGCGCAAGATCTGGCAGGACCTTGCAGGATTCTGCAAGGCCTGGCTGACCCGGGTCTGGAGTGACCCGGGTCAGACAATCCCCGTTCACGTGGCTCTCGCCAAGCGCCGGGGCGTGCCCAGGGAAGCTCCCCTCGTCGGGGGGCGGGGAACTGCGCTGGCGGGAGCTCCCAGAATAGGGGAGGTTCCCGGCATGGCCGCGCGGGCTCTGGTCTCGAGGGTAACCACAACGATACCGCTACAACCTGGACCTCACCTGGGGTGCGTTCTAACCAGGATTTCGAAGCGAATTCAGCGCTGGCGACGAGGGTCCCCCAGGAGGCCGAACAAAAGGGAAACGGGCGAAGGGTAGGGGTATCGGTACCTCTACCTCCTCCGAGTCTCTGCTGTCATCGCATCAGCCGTCCAATCCTGCACGATCTCCGCCGTCGGGGGTGCTCAAAGGCTGTCCAGGGCTTCGAGCCTTGAACGCCCGCTCCCCCGCTGCCAGGGTGGCAAGAGCCGAGACCTCCGACGTCACGACTTCTTCGAGACTCGGCCCCTCAGAGTTCCCGACCGCTTCCCCGTGGGCCAGTCGGTCGTCACGGGTCGTCTTTTGAGCCCATGGGCCTGGAAACCGCCCCCCCACGCCGAAGACTGCAAAACACTATTATGATCAGTAATGTCATTATTATCATTCTTGTTAGTGGCATGCATTTATTTACTTATTCAATATTAGTTTTGGTACTGTTATGATTATTGGTATTATTATGACTATTTTTATTATTATCCGTAGTATGATTATTCTTATTGCTATCATTCTTAGTCTTATTCTTATTAGTATTACTATTCATTATTGGTACTCGCATTAGGATGATGATGATGATGATGATGATGATGATGATGATGATGGTGATGATTCTTATTATTAGCATTTGTATTGTTATTATTATTGTGAATATTATATACACAAAAAATGTATTGGCGCCTCGCACCATGCACCTTGGTCCTTGAAATTAAGCATGCAGGCGGTGTAGTAAGAAGGTCAAACAAACAATTTAGCGATACAACTCCTTGTCGACATATCCGACATCGCCGTCACAATAATATCATTCGTTGTCATTTCTCCATGTTTCTTTTTCCTCAGTCTCGCCCTGCCCTGCGAATCCCACCAGCCCTTTCGAGCGTAGGTGGTCTAGGGAGCTTCCTCTTCCAACCCCCTTCTTACCCTTCGGGGAGGGGTTTACCCCTCCCCCTACCCGTTCCCCTGGACCTGGACGGGTTCCGCGGGTAGTTGGAACGTCCAAAGCGGCCCCGGCGAGAAAGCCCAAACCATCGATGTTACTAAGGTTTTGGCCCCATCTTCGCCTCCTGGGGGGGAGGTAAATAAGGAGTTCCCCTCTTCTGATCGATCTCACCCAAGATGGCCCAAAGATAGTTCCCAAGGCTCCCAAGGGTGTCCCAACAGGTGGCCAGGAGGCCCCAAGAGGCCCCCAGGATGCCCCCAAGAGGCTCCGACGAGACCCCCAATAGGCCCCAAGAGGCCCCCCAGAGGCACCCAAGACGCTCCAAGAGGCCTCGGCGAGAATGCCAAAATCATTGAGTGTAGTCAGGTTTTGGTCACAATTTGGCCTCCTGGGGGGCGGGGGACGGATTAAAATGACTCCAAGAGCGCCTGGGGGAGCCCAAAATGACCTCCAGGATGGCTCAAGATGTCGCAAGATGCCTCAAAATGGTTCCACGATGCTCCGCTAGGTCCCAAGACCGCTCCACCACGGATCCAAATGGCCCAAAAGCTCCCCCAGGAGGCCACGAAGAGG